CCTGTAGGGGTAATTTTTATTTACTTTTGGTGGTACAAATATTGTATGTAAAAACATATTTAGAAGTGTGACTTATAACAAAAAGTACACATATATAAAATCCACATTGTTTTATAATAAGTATGTACGTACACTGCTGCAAAATGAATTAGTAAGCAAAACATAAGTTTACATATAATTTCTTTACAATATATTTTTAGGACAAAATTTTATAAGAAAATGTTATTCTGTTGCATTTAACTTTTTTCAAATACAGTATTTTCAAAAAAAATATTTAGAACGGAATCTCGCTATTGATTTGTAAGGGTAAAGCTTTCTTAATTTCATTTTAAATAAAATAAAATTGTCAATAAACAAAAAAAAATCATCTGGCAAATCGCATTTTTGAGGTTTCGAACCTGGGACTTTTTTAATAGAAATCGTATGCTATACGCATTACACTATATAGTATTAGTATTAACTAATTATACATTCACGCATTTTATTCGCGTGTATTATAAAATCCAAATACATACGTGCATACGTGCATAGTAGTGAATTATTTTATGCATATACAGTAAATTGTCGCTTAAAGTGCTCATTGTCTTATTATTTTACTCAAAAGATATTAGATGTCAAAGGAATTAATTATTTGTATGATTATGTACTTTTTCGCAATTATTTTTAAGAGCATTTCTTATTTTAAATTTTATCTTATAAAATATTACGAAAAACACATATCTATATTACGGGTGTGTTTTTAAAGAAAAAAAGTAAGCTTAAAAATTTTAGACACAGAATGGAACACAATTTCAACAATACACACATAATACTTGCAAATCTTGAACACACGACTAGTTAATATATATGTATATATGTTCATGTGATTGTGTGTTTCAAATAGTAGAGTGCATGTAGCAACTCAATGTAAACATTACTTAGTAATCATGTGGATTACAGTATAAAGCAATGTGAAGAACATTTCGTCGGGAATTTCTTGAGAAATTTGAAACTGGAATTGAAAATGGATCTACCACTTTCTTTCTAGAAAGCGGTAGATCCAGTTCGAGAAGAAAAATTTCTTTAATTTTTCTGCCTCCATCGTTCTTTGATTACGTTATCCATCTGTTCTGCAGTTCTGTGAAGAAATTTCCATTGAATTAATATTATTAGTGTATAAGCACATTACTTATTAACTAAAGTATTAGCAATTCAATATATCCAACGCTGATTTTTTGTAATGTCAAAATACACATACAATATATAAATTTTATATAGGTACACGTAAAAATTTTTTTCAAAACTTCTCAATTAAAAATAAAATAACCTAAATGGGTTTACAAATGGTTCTTCCTTAGTGTCACACTTTTATAATCAAAAACCAAAAGTTTTCGGTTACAGTTAAAATTTTTAGCTTTGAAATTTACCAAGGAAATATAGATGATGCGTTCTCAAATTTCCGCAATGATTGATAAAATAGTAATTATTGGGCTCATGAAGGTTACGTTTGTGACGATGTCGTTTACTTACGATTTTCACATCCAAAAATATGGAAGATTTTCAGAAAATAATCACCCATTGGCCATGTCTTGTTAAGTATTTGATTTTTAGGTTACGTGTAGGTAAATTATGAAGAACTATCAAAATTAAAATATTAAACAAAAAATTGTAATGTTATCCGTTATCACACAAAAGCATGCTGAAAACGCATCGCTCCTGAAGTACTTTTTTGGTGTACTGATTCCAAGAATTTGACGAATTCAGAGAATCAGCGATAGGTCATGTCTATGCACGTGTCTAGATGTATATCTGAGTATTTATTTCCATTTTGTCTAGATGAAATTTCTATTTTCGTTATGCCTAGAAGAAGTTTCTGAATAAAGTACTCAGGTACAGGCGTGGGTTGAAGCTGCTGGCGAAGAAATCTATCAAATTTATTACATTTGTAAATTGGACACACTTTGATATATTCCTTGATGAATCGGTTCATACATGGGGAACAATACTTCTCCCTTATCGGTTCCCGGTTCCCCACCGAATTTGGGTGTGCTATTTTGTGTTGTTTTTCCATGATGTCACACTGTCTTTCTTTATTAGCGACATCTTATACCATCTTTCAAGAGATTCTAATTTTAAACTTGCTGTAGCGATCCCGGTAAACTTCATAATGCATACTCAGGTATTCTTCTCGATATAGCCTCTGCGCTAGAGCAAAGAGGCTATACCGGATGAGGCTCCTCGTAGGCTGCGATATCTCTACCACATTTAAAGATTATCTGTGTTTTGAAGACATTGATTGAGGCTTCGGAATGCGATATGAGCCCTCTCTATAGAAACTGGTTGATAATAAATTGATTTCCGTTGGTAATCTCGATAGCGGATCGGCCACTACATTTCGACTTTGGTCTGGCTTCTTTTCAGTTTCGCGTTGTGATTGTTTTTGCCCAGAGCAAATGTGAGGGGCTGGTTGTCAGGCAGTATTTTGATTTTTTCGCTCTCATCAAGATAAATCTGCAAGTTGTCAAGCGCCTACATAATGATTAGCATCTCCTTCTCTGTTATAGTATACCGTTCCTCCATCTTTATAATTGTTCTTGTGACATACGTAATAGTCCGTTCATGTCCTATTTCACCGTGAAATAGGACGGCGAGAAGCCTTTGTTTGAGACCTCGGTAGTTGGCATATATGCGTTGTCAAAATTTGGCGGATGACAACTTCAGTTGACATTAAGAGCTTCTTCAAATTTGTAGATGCTTTTTCTAAATTTTGTAAAAGTCCCATATTAACCTCCTAAAGTAAGATGTTAATCCCAGTAAAGATTTTATTTCCTTCAGATTTAATGAATTTAATGGACTTTCTTGAGATGCGGTTTTATTACCTGACTTGTAATCAAATGGCCAAGAAATTCCACTTTCATCTTGAAAATATGAAGGTGGAATTTCTTGGCCATTATGGGCTTCTTCAATTTTTGCAGGTGTTTGGAGAACACCTTTTCAATGTTTTTCAGGTGTTCTTCTTCGGTTTTTCCCAAAATTATCAGGTTATCAATGCAGACGCAGCAGCGCTTACCTACGTGTTCTTTTAGCATATAGTAAATTCGTAGTTCTCATTCATAGTTGAAAATGCTGCTTTTGATACGACTTTCTCTGCCATCTTAATTTGATGAAATCCGATGAGGTCAACAGTATTTAAGAATTTCGCTTTGCCCAAGCTGGAAAGTGTCTTGGTAATGTCAGGAATTGTCAGGTATGATTGAGGTTTTCTCTACATTATCAAAATAACTGAGTTGGATAGATATTTCGCCACTGCTGATATTTTTGGTGCTGCTAAGCTTTTTTGATCTTCTAGTTGACCTGGTTGTGGATTCTTAAAGTTTTACGATTTGTTGTTCAAAGAGTTTTAGTTTTTCAATATGCCAGTTAAGTTATTTATTGCTGTTGTTAACGCTTCCATTTTGCACTCTGATATTTTTAATTTTATTTTAGAACTTTCTGATCTGCAGATCTTTTTTGCGAAACTTAGATTGATTTTAATTATGCGTGCTAGTTTCTCTTCTTCTGTGATAAGGTTTCTGAGCCTTAGGTGCATTGGTCGTATTGCTATTTTCACTCTTTTCATTAATTTAATTAATTTTATTTTAATTATTTATATTTGAATTATAGTTTTTCAATTATTTTTCCTAATTTTATTTAAATTGATTTCTGTGATTAGTAATTTTTAATAATTTACTATTGATTTTATTTAGAATGTTATTCTAAATAAACTCTCTGGTTTAAATTGTTCATAAAAAAATTCTTATTTTAATATTACGATGAGGATTATGAAAGCGTGGATTCGTATGTCGATTGTTTTTTTTTTTTGCTAAAATTTATTTTTTTACTAAAATTAATTTTAGTCTTAGATGTGTTTTTTTTGCCTTCTTCGGTCGTGATTGGAAGTACCGTATTATTCTTTTTTGGTAGTGTTCAATATTTACTCTCAGTCTACTAAGTTACACTCACATATTACGTTTAATCGTTTTCCACTTTTTATCTTACGACCGGTTCCTGTCACTCTTGTTTCACTTACGAAGATTTTATAAAAGAAAATTTACTTTTATTTCAAATTTAAAAAAGCGTTTATAACACAGTTTTTATTTTATAAAGCAATTTCTTTTTATGACAGAAATTAACTTCAATTATTACACTATTCAAATATTCAGTATTATTATAATTCAAATTTACATTAAAATTTTGAGACATCAATTATATTAAAGTTCTAAGACTAAATTCTAAATCTAAGCTCTTCCTAATTTATAACAGTAAATTTGCTTTCTTCGCAAATTGAACCTTATGTGATTTTCCTAAACTAAAAATTCTCATGAGGAAACGCAGACATTCTGTCAGCACTTTTTTGTAGGAACATATCTTAGTTGAAATATTATTGACAGTAAGGAGGTTAAAACGTGCTGTGACATAACGGCTATTTATCCACTGTTAATTTGTATACATTTCGTTTGCGCACGTAAACATAATGTAATAAAAAATTATTTTACATTCGGTGGAAAATTCTGTGTAATAATTCAAAATTTTTTTTAGGATTATAAAAAAAATAGAAAAAATTATATTTTAAACTAATATAAAATAAGTTTTCTTCAAGATAAGAAATAATTCATAAATCCAAAATGATTAATTAAGTTATGTGCACCTAACTAAAAATATATACATATGTGTGTGTTTGTAAGGTATAGTTTTATAAAATAAAATGCTGACAAAATTCCATTTAGATATTTGTAATTTATTGCTGTCAATTTTAAATTGTCTCTTTTTTGCTATACAAATTAAATATTTTCCTCAATATATTCTTTACTAAATATTTAATTTATCATATAACACCCCACATTCTTTATAATCCATTACAATAATATGAATGTAAATTACATACATATGTTTTTTATATAGTATATTTGGTTTACTTGATTTTACTAATTTTATTTGTTATGCTCAATTTCTTTTCAACTCAAACACGAAATGTACCTCAGCTGAATTTGGTACAATGTTAAGTATGCCACAAAGAGAAACAACCAGAACTACGACCGTGGGCAGCCAACAATCGTCTTCTTCAACTTATGGCACGTCATCATTAGAAATTAATTCGACGCTAGGTTACCAAGACATAAGCGATGAAAAAGATAAAATTATAAAAATCGATTTACCGGACAGCACTGTTTATGAAGAAGATGTTGACAATAGTGGATTAAGTAGTTTTGAGGATGAAACTGATGACGAATACGACGACATTCGTCATTTATTCGCAACAAGAAGTTCATATACCAGCATTCAAAAAACAGTATTTAGGAAGCCTTTGTTGCATGGCTTTTTAATGACGCCTGGTTATCCAAAATTTTATATCGGGGAAATTAACTGCAAATGGGAAATCCATGCTCCAGAAGGATATAAAATTCGTTTAAGCATTCTGGACATTTCTTTAAGAGGTGAGATTTATTATATTATACTCAAAATGAAAAACTGAGAAGTGCTAATATCGTCTTACTTTTGTTTTTGTGTTTCATTTATAACATATCGCAACTATTGATTTTTATATGACATTGCATTCTCCACTTTGAAAATATTTTTCAAATTTAAATTTTATATTAACGTTTGCGAGTTGTCACAACTTTTTTCTTTTAGCGAAAATAAAGTGAACTTTTCATAATTATTAATGATATTAGCCATGGTAATACTCTCAGCTCTTTTTAATTCATGACCCCAACAAGGAATATATTTGCACACAGATCTTTCGTGCTTATTTAGTGTATTCTTTTTTGTTCTTTTTTTTAAATAAATTTTGATATATGAATATATTACATGAAAATTCAATTTTTTTAATATTTGATAAATATAATATTTGTTAAGTCTCTAATTGAGAAGTTTCGTTGTCAGGAAGTTTATGTAAATTCGAAATTTTTAACTGTGAATATTTAAGTGAAATTCGATATTATGTTAAGATACATGTTTCGCCCATATACGAAAAATCATGGGGAGATCAAGATAGGCCAACTCGAATTTTCGTCAGACTTACTAATACTATTCAAAGTGGCTGATCATTAGTTTCGACCGCTCACGTTTCTTTATCTACATTCTGTAAAGAAAGGCACGCACGCATTATTGTTGTTCTGTGAACTTCGTCAATTGTTGCATACATCGTTCTGAAACCAAAATGATAGTTTGGAATCAGTTTGCAAACTATCATCATCATAAAGTTTTGATATCATTGTTAGCAGAGACGTCCACCAATATGACTTTGCCTCTTTCGAGGGTTTTCCTAGGTTTTCTATCATAATTCTTCCGCTACTTTCCAAATACAACACAATAATCTGTATATTCCATGATCCATCTGTTTTTTTCAATGGGGAGATTCATGTCATCGGGTTCTTAGTATTCTTCATTGCTTTCCACAACGAATAATTTGTTTATTTACTTCTCGACAAACTTTTTATACAATTTTCGTATGGTACTGATTTACAAATTTTCTATAATGTATAAAACATCTTTGAGAAAGTGAATTCGCAGCCATTTTGTCATCTAGGGGACGCGATTCTTGCCATTTCCATCGTACTCTTCTTTTTTCCTATTAAATCAGTTGCAGTTTTGAAATAGTTGCTTGATACATTCTTCTTACATAAATTCTTACAAGCATGTCTTGTATCTTTTATATTGTCAATAACTTTAGTTCTCATACTTTTCTTTTCTTTTTCGTCATACTATATTTGAAAAGCTGCTTTTCAGTAATTTGGAAAGCTACAGGTATTTTTGCACTGTATTAGATATAGAAGTATTAAAATTTTATGGGGTTCTTTCATTATTACCCACATTTTACATATTTAGCCCGTCTTGATTTTTGTATAAGTCCGAAACTTTGGCTTTTCTTGCATTGAGGAATTGACTCATATCTTCTAAGACCTTCAAGTTTTGTTCTTATATGCTAAAAATATTCCATTTTATATATTTCATTTATGTCTTCGTTAAAATCGAAGGACAAAATGAAAAACCGCAAATTTTTTATGGTATCTAGTCTTCATAAATGTACAAAAAACCCCCATTCAAACTTCGGTAGTGTAAATAAAATATTGCTGTAGGTTATAAAAAGTTAAAGTCGTTGAAATTCTTGTATTTGGGAATCATTATCATTATCAATATTTTGCATCGAAATAAAGAAAGAACTCATTTTTAGTCAGAAATGTATAAATGTCAAAATTATACGCAAAAGTATAGAAAAGTTTTTAACAGTAAAACTAGAGCATTACAATGTTACATTGATATTACTCAATCCCCAACTCTAAAAATACTCCCAACACTTTTTCCGAAAGCTACGCATTGTAGGAGTATTGTATTTATGCTTTATTGAAGACAGTTATATTTACGTTATTTTCTTTTTACCGACCGTATTGTGTAAACAATAGGTAGGTTATGTGATGGCAACAAATTTTGCATATCGAGTTTTCGGTGGGAACGTACTTCTCCATAGTAGGGAAGTGTAAATAAACTATTTTTAGCAACCTGTCGGTCTGTCGGTCTGTGTGTGCACGCGTGTATCTCAAGTTCGGCTGAACCGATTTTGATGAAATTTTATATGTAAGTTTGTTTCCACCACGGCACGGATCGATCAACTTTTGGTATATATCAGGCCTCGGGAACTGCGCTTTTTGGCGGGCCTGTTTTACATTTTTGAACATTTTGAAGAAAATATTCAACCGATTTACTTGAAATTTTATATAAAAGCTCAGCTCGACCGTCCGCAAAAATTCGTATGTTTTGGAAGAAATCAGGCATCAGCAACTAGACGTTTACTACGGGCCAAATATACATTTTTGTGTATATAAAGAGAAATAATCAACCGATTTCATTGAAATTTAATATATGAACTGCTCGTATTAAAGCAATGAACATATAACTTTTTTGGAAAGATCAGGGCTCGAGAATTGATTTGCGTGCTGATTTTAAATTTTTCACCATATCCACAGAACAAATCGATGGAATTTCTTGAAATTTGATATTTGAGTTCTGGTTGTTACCGAAACTAACTGGCGAGCATTTCAGGGAATTCGGGTAGCACAAAGCGAAACTCTACTAAGAGCCAAATTTACATTTTCCTAAGTATGTTAACTATAAGCTTACTAATGTCCTAAAAATTGGAAAGAAGTATTTAACAGACATTTTTATAATATTCTGTAACACTTTCATTTAACTAGACAATACACAATGCGGTCGGTTATGTGCTGATCACATCAGATTTTTTTTTCATAATTTTATTTATAACATTGACGCGTTTGAATCCCTCTGTGATAAAAGTTCATACAATAACTTTAAATAAGAATGATCATTTGCGGTTGACTTTTAAAAGTAACCTAATGACTTTTTAATAAATTCATAATTGTTTCTTTTCTGTAGCATAAAAATATCAATATTTTGTTTTAAATTGTTTAGGAAGCATAAAATTACAACACAAACAAATAACAGAATGTATTTTTCTTAATAATTAAAAAATTGCACCCGCTCAAAAATTCTTTTAATCTTCTATAAAATTTTATTTTATACATTGTATACGTTTTATTCTCGCAAAAGCTAATTATACCCGTACAAACGTATGTTCAAAGCGTATACTAAATTTGCCTTACAGTTTGTAACGCTAGACTCAAGCATAGTAATACTTTTGTTCAGGGTCGAATTCTAAGTCGATTTGTCTTTGCCTGTCCGCTTGCCCGTTCCAACGATTACTCAAAAACTGATTGAGCTAATTTCATCAAATTTTTACAAATCATTCACTATAATAAATGCCAGAACTCTATTTAAATTGATTATGATCGAGGTACTGGTTCGAGTAGCTGCCATACAACTTTAAAATTTATTTGGCTATATTTCAGAAATTGTAATAGCTATAGTATTTTGCACAAGTGAATATACTATTAGGGCAATTATATTAAATAAAAGTAATTGAAATTGCTTGGCTTCAATCTCCTGCACTGAAATTTTGAAAAATAAAAAAAAAGTAAAATGACAGCCTTATTCAGTAAAAATTGTTGAGATCTCATGAGTACTTGTAATAGCTACCATACAACTCCAAAAGTTATTTGGTATTATCTCAGAAATTATTGAAGCTAAATAAAAATTTCATAAAAGCTATTGTATTATTAGTGCTGTTGTGTGTGATAAAAATCGTTGAAATTTCTTGATTCCTTGTGGTAGCCGCCAATAGTAGTTTGTTTGGTATTTTTAGGATTTTTTGGGGGTATAACTTCTAGAATGGGGGAAGTAGATAAAATTTTTTTTTTTACGAAAATAAGTTTCTAGAAAAGATTTATGTACATATTAAATTTCAGCTTTCTATCTTCAAGGGTGTAGAAGTTTTGTAAACATGTCCACGGACGGACGGACAGACGGATGGACTGACGGATGGGCGGACAGAGTGAAACTAATCAGCATTTTTTTTCAAAAATTTTTTGGAAAAGTGCTTAAAAGGAGCTAGTTAAACTTCAATTCAGGTCAAGTTCGTAATAAATAGGGTTTTGGTATTTACTATCATAATTTTTTTGTACAAATGTTCCAACATGCGTTTGCACTGAAATAATATACGTCCAACAAACCTTCCAACAGAAATAATAGTTTTTGAGATGTGAACTTTTACCACATATAGCAATTTCAACACTATACTGAATGCGGCTGAAGTGCAACTACTCGAGTCACTTCCTCGATCACATTCAACTTAAATAGGTTTCAGCTATATTTACTGCTATTATAAAGTGTTTGTGAAAATTTGGCGAGCTTGACACAATTAATTTTTGAATTATCGTTGGAACGCATGAACAAACATGGTTACATAAAGTCAGAATTCGACACTGATAAAAAACATACATTTATGTCCATATCTCAAACCATTATTTCTTAGAGTTACAAACTGTTACACAAATTTATTATACTCTTCCAACATACCTCCATACGGACATAATCATAACAACATATTTGACGTACATATAAATGCTTACATGTAATTCGTTAAGTCAAGGTTTTTTTGCGCCAACCACTAACCACTTGCTACTTTTCAACTTATCAAAAAATTTGCAAAATTTTCGTTGCATCAACAATGAAAATGATAAGTGCTCAATAAGCCTAGCAAAACTAAAATGAGCTCATTTATCAGATTAGCGTTGATAAACAAAAAAAAGTGTAAGTAATTTTTTGCTTAGTGATAATTTTATAAAATTATCTAAAAATAAGCATTTTTGGTTCCACCAAAAACTTTTAATTTTAATTTTTAATTTGCAAAATTAAAAATTAATTTTTAATTTTAATTTCTAAGCAAAAAATTTTTCTTAAATTTAAATTAAGTAAAGAAAAGTGTATTACATTTAATTACACAAATGTAAATTACAAATGTAAATTGCATAAAACAATTATTCAACAGAAACAGATATATAAAAGCATACTGTATGTGAGT